GTAGGGCGGTAGTGCCTCACCGTCACTTGGAGGTCGCCTAGCAGCAATTCCTCCAGCGACGACCCTCCCCCGGACGCCATCCGAGCTCCCTGGCCCTCCAACGCGGCGCACCGCCCTTTGCGCTACGAAGCAAGCACCCCTGCCTTCACTTTAGCCGATCATTAGGACCCAGCAGTGCACAGGCCAGCGCACGAGCGCCAAGCACCCCAAGGGCAAGTTTGGAGGAGCGAACAGGCCAGTAGAGGCTCCAGGTGCAATCCAAAAACGCGCAGGGAGGGACGAGAGGATGGCTTGGATCTCCTGGAATGACTATCGCCTGGTTCACCCTATGTCCAGCAGTGCACCCTCTCAAGTACACCTGCCGATGCAGCTCCCGATCGCAATATAGGCTCCCAAGGTCACCCCCTCATTCATTGCGTTGCCCGCTATGGCCGCCGCAACGCAATGGCGTACAACTCTCACACACTGGCAGGCTGCACCCTGGAGGGCACAACGCTCGCACACGGGATCACGGCTGTCGACACGCCCATCCCCTGCTGCAAGTGCCGCACAAGCGAGGCCCTCGTGCGCCGCCGCCGCCGCAGCTGCCGCCGCCGCCGCGGGCTTGCCAGGCCGGCACACGCCCGGCAGGCGCAGCGTGCTGCACCAGCTGGCGGCCAGTGCCGCGCTGCTGCTTGCCAATGCCGCGGGCCCGGCATGCCAGCCCGCGGCGGCGAGCGCCGCTGCAGACGGCGCCGAGCGTGTGGCCACCTCGTGCCGAGGCTGCGTCGCCGCCATCTCGGCCATCGCGTCTGGCAAGACGGCGGCGCTCGGAGAGCAGCAGCTGGGGTGCGGCGTGTTGTGGGGCAGCGACGGCTACGTGGTAGTGCCCTATGCGCCGCTCACGCGGCTCAGCAGGCAGGGCACCGCAGGAGACCCGCAGGTACTCCTGGCGGAGCCGTCTGACCCGCCGCTGCACTGCTGCATCCCCGCTGCGCTCCCGTGGGTTCGCCGCCGGTCACAGCTGCACGTCCAGTGTTTGCGAGGGCACCGTCCAGGGGGCACCTGGCAGCTAAGCTGACACCCCTCGCCTTGGGCCCCACCCTCCCACCTGTCCTGCCCGCCTGCCTGCCTGCCTGCCTGCCCGCAGGTCTTTGTGACTGTGACGGCGGCAGACGGCAGCAGGCAGCGGCTGCCCGCGGACATCGTAGCCAAGGACCCATCCCACGAGCTCATAGTGCTGCAGGTGGCGCCGCCCGACGGCGGCCTGCGGCCCGCGCCGCTGGGCGCCTCGGCGGGGCTGCGGGTGGGGCAGGATGCTTACCTGCTGGCCACCCAGCCAGATGCAGAGCTGCTGGTGGCGGCAGGCAAGCCGCAGCACGCGCCCCAGCGGCGTGGAGTCGCAGCCTGCTGCCTGCCCTGCATCTGCCTGCACCGTTCCTGCTTGGCCGCCTGCCGCAGAGGGAAGGCTGCCGGGCACATCGGCGCTCCCCTTCCCTGCCCTGCCCACTCAGCCTGGCGGCCAGCTTCCTGGCACTGCTGCCATGCAGGCGTCATCTCCGCCGTGGGCCGCGTCATCCCCGCCTCCAACAACCAGGCCATCGGCGGCATACTGCAGACAGATGCGCAGGTATCGGCGGCCAGCCTGGGAGGAGCGCTGGTGGACTCGGCGGGCCGCCTGGTGGGCATGCCGGTGGTCGCCTACGGCAAAGGCCCCGGCCACAGCAGCGGCGTGACCTTTGCGCTGCCGGCAGACCTGCTGCGCGAGGTGGTGCCGCGGCTGATTGTGTACGGCAGCGCCGCGGTGCGGCGGTGAGCCTATGGCCCAACCGGCCTGAGCATATAGACCCTTTGTCTGCAAGACCTCCCTGCACCGCCTCTTGGCTGTCATGTTGGGCAAGGGTTACAGCAGAAGCAACATGGCAAAGGTGGATTCGGTGGTGTGGGTACACGGGAGTGTTTGCAAAAGAATGGCAAGGGCAGCGCGGGGTGCAGAATGCTGCCAGGGGGTTGTGCGCTACCAGGAATTTTGCTGGATGAAATGGGGGGAAGGGGATTGCACTGCCTGGGGCAGCCAGAGGGCTCAGCAACAAGCAATTGGGAGTGCGGTCGGATGCAAAGGGTTTGCCGAAGGGCGATCCCAAACAAAATGGGATGAGATCAGTAAGATGATATGGAGATGAAAGGAAGGGATGAGGCTCAACGATAGGCAGCCAGCCCATCTCATTGGGGCTGGCTGCTGCAGCTGAGTCTCGGGTACTGTAAAGAATGTCAGCAGATATCTGACCCTGCCTGGGGGCACAACACGCACTCGCAGTGCAGTGCAGTGCAGTGCCGTGCATTGGTTGCTGCCCAGGCTGGAGGGGCAGGGCTGTACTTGTACAAGGGGATTGGGATGGGTTGGGTGGAGAGGCGGCTCGCGGATGCCATCACCGACCCGCGCCTGGCCGCTGCTGCTCCTGCCACGCCTGCTCGGGCTCGTGCCAGCCGCGCGGCTCCACGCCCGTGCTGGCATGAATCATGCGCTCCAGCCTCATCCACAGGCTGGCCTCTGCAGAAAGGGACCAAGGGAACATGTACGTTCAAGCAGGTCAGCCAAGCAGGTGACACTAGGACCCACCACAGCGCCCTCCCATTGAGTTGCACTGAAAACAAGGAGCCCCGCCGCAGCTTCGTGCAGCCGGTCAGCTGTACCCAGCTCCCCAGACGCAACGACCACCAGAGCTGGCGCGGCGCTGACCTGGCGAGTCTCCATCCAGCAGCGGGTTCCACCAGCCGCTCACGATGGCATACTTGCAGTTGAAGGGGGCCTTGTGGTGCGCGCCGTGGGCCTTGCGTGAGATGAGCAGCCCGGCGTCCTGCTCCCAGGGGCGCAGAGGAGGGAGGCGGCAGTGGTGAGGCTGGGTGGGCCAGGCGGCACCGCAGCGTTGGCAGCGTGGGCGCAGCGCAGCCCACGCCGGCCCTGCATGCTCCTGCCGGCTCAGTGCCTCCCCAGCGTCCTGAGAGGCCGGGCCGGCCTCACCTGCAGTGCCACCACCGCCGGGTGCAGCTCGCTCTTCTTCATGTGGCTCCAGGCGTGCAGCTGCTGGCTCATGCAGCACAGGAAGAGGAAGGAGGAGGACCAGACGTCCCACCACGCCGGCGCGCCCGCCGCTGCGCCCAGGAGCAGGGCGCCCGCAAAGGGCACTGCGGGGCGGAACAGCTTGTGCATGTTGTTGCAGAACTCGCGCTCGGTGATGGTCCAGGGGCTGCGCAGCAGGGCACACAGAAGGCACGGTCGTCGCGGCGGGCAGAGGATTGACGGCATTCGAAAAGAAGACTGCCGTCCATCCAGCTAATACTGATCACACGGCCGCGGGTGGCACCTCCAGTGTCGGCCAGAAACGAGGCGGAACTGGCATGCATCGCTGTCCCAAGCCACCCCGCCGTGTAGCTGCGCCGCCCTGCTCACCGCTGGTGGTGCCCCTGGAAGGCTGCGATCTGCCCGCCAAAGACGGGGGTGCTGCCATCGCCATAGTTGTCCACTCCCCTGCGCAAAGATGGAGGGATGGGCAACGCACGGGTGGGCAGGCAGGCAGGTGGGCAGGCGGCGACGGGTATGCACGGCCATGGAAGGAAGGCAGGCAGGACAGCTTTCCTAGCTGATTGATTCCAACTGCACAATGACCAGCAAAGCTTACCAGTGGTAGAAAGCGGTTCCCAGATCTGCCAGCACGTATGCCGCAAAGAGCGCAGCGCCCGCCTCCAGTGCTCCCTCCACGCCCTCCACACCGCTCAGCCCGGTGGCCAGCGTGGCTGCCATAAGCGTCGTGGCGCTGCCCACCCAGGCACGGTGCTCCCAGGTGGAGCGCAGCTCTTCTGGGCTCTCCAGCACGACGCGGCCGGTGGTGGTGGGAGCGGCGGCAGCAGCAGTGGCTGCCGCCACGCGGCGCTGCAGCTCCGCCTCAAGCGCGCCCACTGAGGGCAGGGCGTCCACCTCCTTTGGCGCTGCAATGGCGTTTACTGCCAGCCGGGAGGGTCGCCTGGGGGCGGGTGCTGGAGCAGAGGGAGACAGGTGGTGCCGGGTGGTGCGGCTGCTGCACCACACGGCACAGCCTTGCAGCGCCATTGACGATGCGCAGGTCGGCATAATGAATTTCCGTGAATTTGTGGGTGGCGCCCAACCTTTGCGGTGGTGGTAGGAGAGCGGACCAATCGCAAGCGTGGGTGAGGGCCCTCACAAGAGGACGAACACTGGGGAAACGGTTGAGAAGACAGGCAGCGTGAAATTTGAGACTGCCTGCCTATTTGCCTGGTCGTGGTTGGTGAGTTTCCTGGCTCGTGTGCCACGGAGGCGAGGCCCATGAGTTTTCGGGCTGGCCGCGTAGCCAATGCGTCATCCCACATTGACTGGATAGCCATTATGGTGGCTTTGAACGGCTGGGGCGGCCCATTCCTGTGCGCGCCTGCCATCCCACACTGCAGCAGTGGCTTGCTGGGCCCCATGGCCGCCCAGGCATGATGAGCAGCGCTCCAACGATGCCAAATGCACACATCCAGCCTGCGCGCCGGCTGGGATGGTGGCACGGCTGGGATGGCGGCACGGCAGCGCCTTGTCAGCAGCGGCGGCGGCGGCGCCTTGCAGCCACCGGCCAGGGCCCGGCGACTCAGGGCCCAGCCACCGGCCGGGTGTACCGAGCCACATGCCCCCTGGAGGGCTGGGAGGCCCTGGCCGAGTCCCTGGGCCCGCTGTACCCGCCGCAGCTGCAGCTGCACCACTACGTTGTGCTGGAGGCAGCACAGCAAGCCGCCGGCACCATGCCTGACGCTCCTTTGATTGCTGCCTACGACTTCTTACCGGCTGACCCCACCAGCCCCATCACTGCCGCCCTGCTCCTTTCCGGCGGCAGCGTGCCAGGTGAGGGAGGGTTTGAGGGACACTGTGCGGCTTCCGCCTGGGCATCCGCTGCCCACGGCCATAAAACACGTGCGCCTTGTCCCCTTCCTGCAGGCATCGCCCGGAGCCGGCAGCTGCGCGGCGTGCCGCGGCAGCGGTGCCAGCTTGTGGGATGCACCACGCTGAGCGACCCGCACGCTGCAGCTGCCGCCTTCCAGCGGCGCTATGCCCGTGGCCTGCAGCTGCTGCGAGACGACTGCACCCACCACGCCGACCGGCTGATCGACCACCTGCTGCGATCCTCGCAGTGACGCACAGCAGCGGTTCACGCATGCTCCAATTTTGTTTGTTTGGTTGTTTCAATAACTCGAACTGCTGAACTGAATCTGGAAACTGACCCACTTGTGTGGCCTGCTCGGCCCCCTGCCCATCTTGTTTGCTGCCCGTCTCCCTTCCAGCTGCTGCACTCTCTCGCTCAGTTCCGCTTCTTGGCGGATCCTGCCGGCTGCAGCTTCTTGCGCCGCTGGCGGAACAGGAAGCTGTAAAGCTGGAACCAGAGCAAGGGGTAGACGCACATCAGCGCCTGCAGGCAACAGGGGGGTATTGGCCGTCGGCTGCAGCGGCGGGCTACAGCACAGGGGTTGCCACCTCCCAGCAGCGCACATGCATGCCATGCAATCAAGCTTGCTGTCGCTGCCATGCACGCCAGCTGCCCCTCGTCGGCAGGCTGCCTTCTGCAGCCCTGTGTCTGTGGCTCATCCAGAAAGAAGCAGCTCACCACCAGGAATGTGGGATAGTCGAAGGCAAAGTTGGCGGCATTGGGCAGCGGCACGCTGCGTAGGCCGCGCTGCTTGATGAACGGCAACGCCTGGTACACGCTCCACATCTCGCCCACCACGCCCACGGGGTACAGCGGGATGAAGGCGGTATACCTGCGGTACAGTGGTGCGATGTGGCGGGCTGGCAGCAACGGCGGCCAGGACCGCATGCTGGATGGCGGCGTCAGCAGCGGAGCTGGGACGCAACAGCCCCGGCTGGGGCAGCATGCGGCGGCAGCCCCCCTGCTGCGCACCTGATCCAGGTCAGCCAGCGAGGGCAGGCGCCCACCAGGTTGGCGGCATACCAAGGGTAGCGAGTGACCTCCGAGAGGGCCCAGGCCAGCAACATGGCGCCCACCGCTGCGGTGTTCTGCACCTCCGGCACCGCGCCCACCACCCCAAACAGCACGTTGCTGCGCCCCGCCCACTGCATCAGCGCCGTCACCGGCGAGCCGCCCACCAGCCCCACCGCGGCGTGCAGGATCTCCAGGGCCGAGGCCAGCTGGAAGAGGCCTGCGGCAGGAGGGCGGTGCTGGTTGGCGGGGCCGCCGGGCGGGCGGCGGGCGGCGGCAGCTCTGCCACGCTTGAATCGCTATCGCGATCCCTACATCCCTAATTGCAACATGCACGAAAACACAGCTGAAGCAGGTGCAGGCGCCGGCAGGTGATCAACTCACGGACGGCATCACCAGCCACGGCATAGGTGCCCTCCAGGCTGCGGGTGGTGTCCACATGATTCAGCAGATGGTAGAGGCAGAAGGCCCAGCCCCCGAACTGGGCGACGTTATAGAGCAGCAAGTAGGCCTTGGGCAACACAGCCTGCCGCATCTTCAAAGCAGTCTAGCTACAAAGCAGAACGGCAAGACGGCGATCGTGAGGCTGGGTCAGAATGAGGTGGCGGGCGGCAGCATGCGGCACGGCGATCCACAACTCAATTGTCCTGCCCCATGCCCACTCCACGTTCCTATCCCCTCCTGAGCGTCAGGTGATTTGCTGATGTTAACACAGAACACCAGCAGCAAATGTGCTGATGTGAACACAAGACGCACACGCAAGGGAAGGGCGAACAACAGCCGCCCGCACGAATACGCAGGCAGGGGGCATTATTGTTTGCAAATGTGAATGGACATTCACCAGATTTGGTGCAGAGGAGACTCGCGGGACAGGACTGGGACAGGGACGGACACAGGCAGGACGGACACGGTTAGGACAGCGTGGGGACATGGGCAGGGCAGGGTAAGGTAGTTCATTTGGCAGATTGGCAAGAGATGGGGCGAGCACACACGGCTCGAATGTGGGCAGGAACGCTCAGGAGATAATGGCAGGCAGCCTGTGCGGTGGAAAAGACACTCACGGATGGCACAGGCGCACCGAAGCGGTGCCAGAACGGAAATGCGGAGCGTGTCGGGTCGGCTCCTGAGGCGCGGCGCAGTCGGGCCAACAGGAAAGGGTGTGCAGAGGAGCAATGCAGGCCGGCAGATGGATGGTTGCCTGGAGGTTTGGGTGGCATTCAAAGGCGTGGATGCATGTGAGTGAGGTCATGGGTGGGTCGGTGGGAGAGACAAGGTGGAAACCGCCCAGAGGAGGGCAGAAAGAATAGTGAGGCGCTCGGATGATCAGATGGAGGGAATGGGCAAGTGCGGCGACGCGGCCGCTGCAACCAGGAAACCCAAAGAGAGCAAAAACCGCTGTAGTCTGAGATCAAATTCAAAAAGGCTGAGGAGGGGTCGGGTGGTGCGGCGGCAGCTTTGTCCGTCAGGTGTTGGAATCCAGTGGCAGAAAAGGTGCTGCTGTGGCGCAGCAGCTGCAAAAAGGCGCGGCCGGGATCAGGCGTGGTGGCTGAAGTCCTCCTGCATGTAGCGCCGCCACAGGCGCTCGCTGCTGCTGCGCGAGCTGCGGTGCGGCACGATGTTGCTCCTCTCCAGCTCTGCAGCGGCGGCGGCGGCGGGGCAGGGAGCAGGGCACAGCCACAGAGGTGAGCGGCAGGCTGATGTGCGGCCCCGAGTCAAGCCAATCTGTTTTGGACTGCCCCGCCCTTCCCGCTCAGCTCAGCACACGCCAGCATGGCAACCAGGCGGCATGCAGCGCCAGCAGGCTGGCAGCTGCTGCCCCCTGCCCACCTGCAAAGCGGCTGAAGTCCAGCGCGTCCCCCAGCACGGCGCGGCAGACGGCCAGCACGCCGCGCCGCCCCTCGGCCACGCCTGCCTTGAGGGTGGGAGGGTCGATGCACAGCGGGCTGAAGCTGCAGGCAGGCAGGCGGCGGGGCAGGGCAGGGTGAGGTCCAGGTCAGCCAGCACCGCGGAGCAAGCCATGCCTCGCGGCGGGGAAAGGTGCGGCATGCTCCAGCGCTGGGCGCTTGGCATCAGACGCAGCAGGCGCAGGCGCAGCAGGAGGGGCAGCGGCCGCAGCGGGCTCGCTGCCAGCGCTACGCCGGCTCGCCGGCTCACTTGGCGGCGGCGCCCGGGTAGAGAGGGTACACGTGCGTGCCGGCAAAGTAGGGCAGCTCGTGGGCCGCCTCCTCGCTGGCTGCACGCAGCAGCATGTCGTCCTGGCTCAGCCCGTCTTTCATCAGGTAGTCCACCTCGGCCTGCGTGCGAGGCAGAAGAAAGCAGCACGCCGGTGGTGGGTCAGCGCAGACAGCTGGACGGCGGCCACAGCAAGGACGCCAGGCCTGGGCCCGGGCATGCCCTCCCGGCCCGCACGCCTGGCCCACGCTTTCCGCCTGCCCTGCTCCTTTCCTTCCACCCATCAACATCCCTCGCCAGAGCCCTCGGTGCAACTGATCAGCCCAACCCCACACCACTCCACCCCACCCCACCCCACCCCACCAGCCCCGCCCCACCTTCCAGGCTGGCACCATGTAGTCCGGGCTCAGCACCGCCTTCTTGATGGCCACCTCCATGGCGTCGGTGAGGGCCAGGTTGACGCGGCTCTGCCGCGCGCGCTTGGGCCGCGTGCACAGCACCAGCAGGTGGGTGCAGCCGTCGGCGATGGCGGAGCGGAAGGGCACGGGCTCAAAGACTGCAGGAAGGGGGGCGGGGGCGGGCAGGGCAGGCGGGTCAGGCCGCAGCTCCGAGGCAACAAGGCTGGACAGATGGCCAAACCACGCAGACACGCCCATGCCGACACGGACATGCACAGCACCAAGCATGCGCACACGCCACTTTGTCTTATAAAACACACACATCAGCACACACCTGCCGCGTCCACCAGGCGCTGCCCGCGGTGCAGGCGCGGCCCGCCCGCGATCTCGGGCACGGTGGCAGAGGCCTTGAGGCTCTCCGCCAGGTCGTCCTTGTCTGAGAACCGCTCCAGCACGACAGGCGTCAGGCTGTCCAGAGAGCTGGCCACCACCTGCGGGCAGACACAAGGCAGACACGCAGCGGGGAGGGGGACAGTCATGCAGCAGGCAGGGCTAGCGCTGGCGCGCCACGCCGGCTGTGTCCCGCCGCAGGCACCAGCCCCGCCCGCCCGCCCACCCGCCGCCCACCTTGAGCGGCAGCGGCGAGCGCAGGACGGCGTCCCAGTCCAGCGGGTGCACGCTGTGCATGACGTGGTCGATGAGGAACGACAGGTCCAGCACGGGCGCCGCGTTCTCGCCCTTCCACAGCCGCTTCAGATTGATGAAGTCGGGTGAGGCGATGTGGTCATGATATATGTGCACGCCTGTGCGCTGGCCTGCAGGGCACACGTGCAGGGCACGGGAGCGACGCACGAGGTGGGCGGCGGCGGCAGCGGAAGTGGAAGTACAGGGGACAAGCAGGGCAGCAGGCACGGCGAGCAGGCAGGTGTGCAGGCCGGGCCCAGCGCAGGCTGGGCAGCCGGCGAGAGAACAGCCGACAGCCCTGCCTGCCCACTGCCAGCCAGTCAGCCAGCGGCCCACGGGCACCCGGCGGCTCGGCCGCACCGCCGCCGCACCCGAGATGAAGTATGTTGAGTTGATGGCTCCGGCCGAGGAGCCGTAGACTGCGTCAAACACGTCTCGCAGGCCCAGGTCCGACAGGGCCTGCAGGGCGCCGCCTGACACGCAGCCGCGCATGCCGCCGCCCTCCACGACGAGGCCGAGCTTGAAGGGGTCTCGGCGCGACCCCGGGCGCGACCCCGCCAGCGCGCGCGTGCGCAGCAGCTGCAGCGCGGGGTGGTCTACGCGCACGGGGATGTCCTGCTGCGCTGGCTCCGCCTCGTCGTAGGAGCTGACCGAGCTGCGGGACAGGCTGTACCAAGAGCGGCGCCAGCCGCTGGCGCCAGCTGCCTGCGGCCGCTGCGGCGCCGCCGCCATGCCGTCTCCCAACTCGGCGGCCTCGCCCTCCGCGCCGCTGTCGGTGCTGGTGGCGGCCGGGGTGCTGCTCCAGGTGAGCCAGGAGTAGAGGCTGAAGGCGCCGGGGCGCTGCGCCGCCAGCTGCTGCTGCTGCTCGGCGGCGGCGCCCGGCGGCGACGACGCCTGCTCCGCCAGCTGCCGCTCCGCTGCTGCCGCCTGCTCCAGCAGCTGCCGCTCTGCTGCCACGATCTGCTGCTGCTCCTGCTGATCTTCAGCAATCTGCAAGGTGAAGCACAGACAGAGAAGGCAACTTGGGAATGGGTGGCGGCCGACTTGCCACGGACCCAGCGAGGCGCGCCAACCAGTGCATGCTCCGGCTGGCTGCTCGCCACTCACCTCTGCTGCCGCCGCTGCCTTGGCTGCCGTCTCTACTGCTGCGGGCTGCGCATTGGAGCGCCAGCTCAGGAGCCGAGTCAGCCGGCTGCCCGACCGCTGCGCCACTGGCGGCGCCGCCGCCGGCGGCTTGGCGTCCCTGGACGTGCTGCATTGCACCCTCTGACGCCTCAGTCGCGCCGGAGGGCAGCACTGGGCCGCTGGCAGGCAGCCCCGCCTTGGGGTGTTGGTGGAGGCGCGAAGGCCGCTGCAGCTGCTGGCCCCAGCCGCTGCCGGCGCCACCATGCCGGGCTAACGAGTAGGCGGCAAACTGAGCGGCTGGGCTGGGGAATGGACTGCGCGGGCGCTGATCAAGTCTAGACTGAAACCCCCGTGTGGCGCTCGAGAGGTGGACGCGCAATTGGAGTGACGGGGGGCTAGCCGTGGTGTCGGGAGGGTGGCGGGGTAGAGAGTTAGAAACAGCCAGGGTGTGGGCAGAGGCCAACGGAAATGGAGCCGTGCTGGGGACAGGGCACATGAATGAAACCCGCCCTGCTGAGGCCGAGTGTTATTCCATCCGCAAATAGACATGGAATTCGGCAGGCAGCAAAGGCAACGTTAGTATTGAACATTTCAGGGGCCGCCGCCGCCGCCTCCGCCCTCTGCAACCTGGGGCAGCCACTGCGCCCTCCGCCAGCAGCACCGCCAGCCCTTTGGCAGCACACGACGATGGCCAGCCAGCTTTTTGTCGCAACACGGAAGGCAGACTGATGTTACTCTAGCCAGTAGGCAGAGGTGGTGGGAGAGCCGATGCACGTGTGTCGCCCGTCGTGGCCGGCCCTCGACCCTGCCGGCACTCAGGAAGAGCTGCCACTACTTCCGAGAATTCATGTGATGCAGCTTGCCAATCAGCACACACGGCTGTGTAGCCAATTGACTGGCAGCCTTGTGATCTTCGGCAGAGGAGGGGTGGTTCTCTGGCAGAAGTGCGGCTGGCGGGAGTGGCGGCGGGCACAATTGGCAAGGGGCAGATGCACCGGGCGTCGTGGAATTTGCCCCTAATTTTGTGTAAGTTCAGATCCCAAGTGAAACAGCCCTGCAGGGTCATGGGACCAGCTTTAGGGGAGTCCCATGCTGTAGCTTCATACATGTGGCCGCTGGTGGGGCAGGGCTGCCTGGCTCTGTGGGTGCAGGCATGCGTTTGTGTTAATTGTTGTCAAGTTTCGGGCCTTCTAAGCCTCGCTGGTGGGAACCAGCACTACATCCTGCCGTACAGGGACCACGCACTTCGCAGGAAAACGGGCCCAACCCGCGCCCCCACCCCCAATCGGCCATCCTTCCATCATGGTGCGCACCCTACTCTTCGCTGCCCTGCTACTGGGCGCCTGCGTCGCCGCCAGGGCGGAGGATGATGTCGATGAATCGGACGTGGTGGTGCTCACCGACAAGAACTTCGAGGAGAAGCTCGGCAGCGCCAAGTTTGCACTTGTGAGCCCTCTTTGCACTCGTTTGCGATGGGTCACACGCCTTTGCACACCTTTGCCGCGGTTTCGCCTGGCAGGGGGGATCGCCAGCCCGGATCGACCCCTCCCTGTCCCCTGCAGGTGGAGTTCTATGCCCCGTGGTGTGGACACTGCAAGGTGAGGCCTCCCGCATGCCAAGGCGCGGCTTGGCGCTCCGCGGCACGGGCCGCCCAGCTCGCGATCCCTGGCCCCTCCTCCCGCCTCCAGCAGCACTGGCTGAAGCTTTGGGAACCGGGTGCCGCCGTCCTGGGTGCTGCAGGCCCTGAAGCCCGAGTACGCCAAGGCCGCCACCGCCCTCAAGGAGTACTCTTCTGAAGTCATCCTTGCCAAGGTGTGCAGCTTTGCTGGGGCTGCGGCCGGCCCAGGTGCTGACTGGGAAGGGCCTGCAGGCGCGGGCCGCCTGGCCTGCGCAGCGGGCGGCCCGCGCCCGCCGCTTGCACACGTCGTCGCCGCTGCCGCCGCCGCCAGCTGGCCGCGGCGGCATCGAACGTCCCCAGGCAGACGGCAGCGGCCTGCGCAGCCAGGGGCTCGCTCCGCATGCAAACACCCCTTGCACACACACCTCTGCGAGCAGCAGAGAGTCGTGTTTCCTCCCGCAGCCACGGTACCAGGCACATACCCCGCCTGCGGCCACATACAGCCCACGGGGCGCACCGCTGGCACCCAAGCGCCCCCTCTCCACACCCCTCACATCCCCGTCCCCGCCTCCTTTCCTTCCCGCAGCTGGATGCTACCGAGGAGAAGACTGTGGCGGGCAAGCACGAGGTGCAGGGCTACCCCACCCTCAAGTGGTTTGTGGACGGCAAGGAGGCCATGGATTACTCTGGAGGCCGCACCGCGTGAGCTGGGCGGGGAGGCCGGCTGGAGGGAGGCTAGTGGGAGGGAGGCCAGCTGGGGGGAGGCTAGTGGGAGGGAGGCTAGCTGGAGGGAGGCCGTGGAGGCGGCTCAGGGAGCAGGCGCCAGGCAGAGCGGGCACAAGCGTGCAATGCGGGCGCCCGGCGCAGCCCAGCATGCCTCTCATGCGCCTCCCGCCTGGCCCCTGCCCTACCCTGCCCCGCCCCGCCCTTCCCCTCGCCACCCCTCCTCCTCGCGCCCAGCGCCGGCCTGACCCCCTTTGCCTGCGCCCTGCGCCTGCCCCTCCGCGCTTTCCTCCCCGCAGCGACGACATCATCCGGTGGGTCAAGAAGAAGACGGGCCCCGCCACCACCGAGGTCGCCACCGTGGAGGCCCTGGAGACAGCGCAGAAGGACAACAAGGTCTTTGTGCTGGGCTTCTTCGACAAGCTGGACGGCGACGACGCGGCCGCCTTCGAGGCCGGTGCGTGGGGGGCGCGTTGGAAGGCGGCGGCGCCGCGTGTTCCTGTGCGCGCGTTTTGTGTGCGTGGGCTTTGGGGCGGGCCGGGTCTCTGTGGCTGGGCCACGGCAGCGGGCACTTGTATGGCAAGGGAGCCGGGCCACGCACCTACTCCTCCACCACCCGCCCTGCTCATCCCCTCGCCCCTGCCCGCCGCCCCCTTCGCTGATGTCTCCCCGCAGCCGCCCAGAAGTCCGATGATGCCACCTTCCTCAAGACCACCTCCGCCGACGTGGCCGCCAAGCTGGGCCTGACCGCGGCCCCCGGCTACGCGCTGGGCCGCACCTACGACGACTTTGGATTCGAGCCGGTGGTGGGCGCCGGCCACGCCGCCTTTGGTGCGTGCCCGCGGCGCAGAGCTGTCGGCGGCAGCTGCTGCGTGTGTGGATGGAGTCTGCGGCTGGATGGCACGATGTGGTGACACAGCTCACCGCCTGCGTGGCAGCGCGGGCGCGGGCAGCGCCAAGCCTCCACCCCCCTCCACCTTCGCCCCGCTGCCGCCCCGCTCGCCTCGCCGGCCCCGCTGGCCCCCTGCTGACCCCTGGCGCCCGCCTCGTCTCCCCTGCAGAGGGCAAGGCTGTGGGCGAGGCCCTGGAGGCCTTCATCAAGGCCGAGAAGCTGCCCGCCTTCACCGAGTTCTCGCAGGACACGTCGCAGGCCATCTTCGGCTCCGGCATCAACCACCAGGTGTGTGTGTGCGTGTGTGTGTGTGTTGTAGGGTTAAGGTTTTTTTTGTGCCCAGGGGGCAGCCCGGCGGCGAACACAGGCTGCTGCTGGTGTGGGTGTGGGGGTAGGGGTGGTGGTGGGCGTGAGGGTGGGGGTCAGCCTGCTGCGTGTGCGCCTCTCCGCCTGCTGGGGGTCGCCTCTCCGCTCCCGGCTGCGGGCTGGCTGTGGGGGCGCCCGCCGGGGGCAGCCCGCCCTGCTCTGCGGGCTGCTGCCGCCCGCCCTCCACCTCTCCATCGGTCCCACCCCGCGCGCCGCAT